TCCTCTGGAGGGCCAACAACAGGGCAGAGAGGCCGAGGCCTCCCCCTGGTGTTGCCTCTTGGATCTGGGATTCAGAGGTTTAGTGTCTTTGAATGTGGAGGTTCCCCATAGTCACCATACTCCTGAGTGTTCATCGGAGATGCCTGCAAAAATAAGACCAGTGTTGGATTCTGCATCAGAATGTTGGCACCTCATTATTTCTAACGGGTTAGGAAGCTGGCTATCCCTGTCTGGGTGTCTGTTCCTTCAACAGCCAGCTTTCAAATAGCATAGAACAGGGGTGGCCAAACTGCAGCTTGGGAGCCACATGTGGCTCTTTCACATATGTTGTGCTGCTCCCAGCATGGTGGCTAGGGAAGTGAAGGGGGGGACAGTCTTCCCTTCCCAGCCAGTGTTCCCCTCCATGGGTAGGCTTGAGGTGGGGGGGGGCAGAGAAAGAAAGCAACTTTAAATGCATTCTCAAAAGCCCCCCACTGGGCTGGCTTGGAGAAAGCATTTGTCTCTTTAAATATCATTATCAACACCTGTTTTTACCCTTTTTGTTTTTATTTCTGGCAGTCTTATTTAATGTTAATGTTAATAAAAAGGAAATTTGCCTATTTCTCAATAAAAACATGTGTAATATCTGTTCATGTCTTGCGGCTCTCGAACATCTGACGTTTCTTCTATGCGGCTCTTACGTTAAGCAAGTTTGGCCAGAGCAGACCGTACTGACCTTGATGGACCCAGGGTCTGATTCAGTGGGAGGCAGCCGCATGTATTCATGCAAGCAGGTAGGCCAGCTGGCCGAGGAATGAACAATGCCCGTTCCACATCTGAAGACTGTCTCTGTTAAGTAAGACGTTTGCAGGGAGCTGGAGAGGCACAGGAGCACCTGTGCTGTTGTGCTGCTAGCCTTTGTTCCCTTATGATTTTTTGGTGTGTGTGGGTATTTTGTGTGTATGTATGTATGTGTTTGTGTGCCTGGAAGTCACTTCCAGTTTGGTGTAGTGGTTAAGTGCGCAGACTCTAATCTGGGAGAACCAGGTTTGATTCCCCACTCTTCCACTTGCACCTGCTGATGTGACCTTGGGCAAGCCATAGTTCTGACAAGAGCTGTCATTGAAAAAGAGCAGTTACTGTCAGAGCTCTCTCAGCCACACCCACCTCACAGGGTGCCTGTAGTGGGGAGAGGAGGGGAAAGGAGATTGTAAACCGCCCCGAGACTCCTGCGGGTAGTGAGCGGCGGAGTATAAATCCAATCTCTTCTTCTCTTCTAATTAATTTATGTATTTTCCTCATTTACCTTCTGCCCAGTTGGGACCAATGTTCCCTCTAAGCTGCGGAGTCTTGTGAGCAAAAATTCTACTTTGTGAGCTACTGGCATTAAAGCTGTGAGCAAATAATTTGGCTGCTGCATAAATTAGTTTTGCTCTGGAGCCCTCCTTCCTGAGCTAAGGCATAAATGTGTGAGCTGGAGGCTAAAAAACTGTGAGCTAGCTCACACTAACTCAGCTTAGAGGGAACACTGGTTGGGACGTTTCAGAGAGGTGGCTTGATATCGCCTGCCTCTGCGTCCCGGCCCTGGTATTCCTTGGAGGCCTCCCTTCCAATTACTTGCCAGAGTCAGCCCTGCTGAGCTTCCGAGAGCCGACGAGATTGGGCGTTCCCTTTTTTGGCGGTTGTCATTGCAGTGCCTCCGGTCTTAGACTGCGGAGCCTGCCTGGTGGGCGGAATCAAGTTCTCGGAGTTCCTGTGCAAAAACGAAGGGTGCAGCAGCGGGAAGTTTTGCATCATGCCCAAGGGGATGTGGCCCCCTCCTCAGTTCCGGGTAAGTAAGTAAGTAAGGGTCGGAGAACCAGGGCACTCTCTCTTGGGAGGGTGTTTGATAAACCAAACAAGAGGGACCCCAAGCGTATGAAATGTACAGAGGTAAAGAACGCAAGGGCGGACCGTCAAAGCGTTCACAAATCCCACAAATTACCATTAGACAATAGTCTGTTGCAACATAATCACAGTGTAACAATTAATAGAGTAGAATTAGTGGCCACCATTCCAAAACACTAGTAGCCATTTCAAAGAATAGAAGACAAAATTTGGTGTAACAGTTCAATCGTGAAGAAAGACTCCAACAGGCGACTCCTCTATACCCTTTCAGTATAACAGTGTCCTAAACTCAAAGTCCACAAAGAAGGCAGAGGATGTCCCAAAGATAAATCTGCAGCCAAAACGTCCTTCCTAGGTATGCCAGATGTCTCAAAGCATTCTTCCTCAGTTGTACGGCTGAAAAGTGGAGCCTGATTTCCACAGTAATCTAGGCACAGCTCATGTCTCAAATGGAATCTGTGCAGAGGTTGGCAGAGTTTTTTGGCCCGATGTCCTCGCTGGAGTCCTGGCCTACTTCAGAGGGCTGCTAGTGCTAGAAACGGGAAAAGTCACACCTGGCTCTGGGGCCTCAAAAAAAGCTTAGGGACTCAGATAGGGCCCCATTTCCCACTCTGCTGCACTTAATGGCACCCAGGTTTTAAGAGGTTTAACAGCTTGTCTAATGGTAATTTGTGGAATTTGTGAAAGAGCCAGTTTGGTGTATTGGTTAAGTGTGCGGACTCTAATCTGGGAGAACCGGGTTTGATTCCCCACTCCTCCACTTGCACCTGGCTGGTTGACCTTGGGCAAGCCATAGCTCTGATAAGAGCTGTTCTTGAAAAAGAGCTGTTTCTCTCAGGCCCACCTACCTCACAGGGTGTCTGTTGTGGGGAGGGGAAGGGAAAGGAGTTTGTAAGCCGCTCTGAGACACCTTTGGGTAGTGAAGGGCGGGGTATAAATCCAATCTCTTCTCTTCTTCTCAGGCGCAGTCCACGAGAGAGCTCTCTCAGCTCCACCCACCTCACAGGGTGTCTGTTGTGGGGAGGGGAAGGGAAAGGAGTTTGTAAGCCACTCTGAGACACCTTTGGGTAGTGAAGGGCGGGGCCTAAATCCAATCTCTTCTTCTTCTGATGCTGTTAGCCAGTGCCAAAGTCTCGGCAGGCCAATTCTCTGGATAAATGGTCAGACGGGGGCAGCATAATTTGCTTTCATGGAATTGTGTGATTGATGTTGACCACAGCATTTTAATAACCAGACTCTCATCACCTTAAACCATGAGGAAATTATTTTAATTAATTAAATTGAAGGATAAGCCTATCAGTGGCTACTAGTCATGGTGGCTGAGGGGAGCCTCCACATTCAGAGGCACTAAGCCTCTGAATCGCAGAGACAGGAGGCAACATCAGGGGAAGGCCTCGGCCTCTATGCCCTGTTGTTGGCCATCCACAGGAACTCGTTGGCCACTGTGTGAGATGGGATGCAGGACTAGGTGGACCACTGGGTCTGATCCAGCAGGGCTCTTCTGATGTTCTTATCAGGGGAAGGCCTCGGCCTCTATGCCCTGTTGTTGGCCCCCCAGAGAAACTGGTTGGCCACGGTGTGAGACAGGATGCTGGACTTGACGGACCACTGGTCTGATCCAGCAGGGCTCTTCTTCTTTTCTTATCAGGGGAAGGCCTCGGCCTCTGTGCCCTGTTGTTGGCCCTCCAGAGGAACTGGTTGTCCACTGTGTGAGGCAGGATGATGGACTAGATGGACAATTAGTCTGATCCAGCAGGGCTTTTCTTAGGTTCTTAATTAATTAATTAAATGGTGATTCCCTTTCCCCCTTTCTTTTGCAAAGGCTGTTGCCACGTTTGGTTTTGTGGAGCAAGAACCATTTGGGATCCAACCTGCTATTTTTGAGCTGTTTCCAGGCCATTCTATAGTAATTGAGGTTAGTCATTTGTCCAGCAGAACAATTTCCTATGGGCAATGGTGTCAATTTCCAATGGGAGGGCATTGCAGAATTTGGGGGGCTGTCACTGAAAAGGCCCTGCTTCTCATGGAGGTTAATCTCCACATAAGGACTCCTCAGGCCGGCTGTCATAACAGATCTTGTGTGCAGGGACAGGGGAGAGGGTCATGCAGGCACGGCCTTTCCCTGAAATAATTGAGGAAAGTCCTTGTGAGGGTGTGAATCCTAGATATCACAGGCGGTGAATTCCCTGGCACCTCCAGCAAACTGCGGTTCCCAGGATTCCTTGGAGAAAGGTGTGATCTTTAAACCGTTAAGAAAAATAATTTCTGCAGGCTAGGAAGACTCTCTGAGCCCTTCTGTTGTCACGATGCAGAAACTTCTCTTCCAGACGGCGTTCTTTCCCAGTTTCCCTGGAGTGGCATCGGTGACGTACACCATCGTCTGTGACAACTGCCAGATCAACGAAATCACCGTGTCAGGTCTGCCATTAAAATCTTTTCCGAGTGTAAACGTCAAAGGGCCGGGATGTTGCCTGACTGCCTTGTCCACTGCGGAGTTGGGAATCGCTGGTCAAGCAGGCCAAGTACCTCAACGGCCTTTGCCCAGAGGAGTCTCGCCAGTAAGCCCATCCACGTGTCAGCCTCTCTGTTCTCCAGACTCATGTAGGTAACCTGACCCGGATAGCCCAGGCTGGCCCGATCTCGTCAGGTCTCGGAAGCTAAGCAGGGGCGGCCCCGGTTAGTATTTGGATGGGAGACCTCCAAGGAAGTCCAGGGTCATGACGCAGAGGCCCCACTCCTCCTCCACATGAAGCCAGCTGGGTGACCTTGGTATCGGTCACAGTTCTCTCAGGACTCTCTCAGCCCCACCTGCCTCACAAGGTTCCCTGTTGTGGGGAGAGGAAGGGAAGGCGATTATAAGCCGGTTTGAGACAGATGAGGCCTGCTGGGTGACCTTGGGCCAGTCACAGTTTCTCTCTCGGAACACCTCTTGCCTCGAAAACCCTGCAGGGTCGCCACAAGTTGGCTGTGATGCGACGTCACTTTCCACCCATCCATGGAGAGAGCATCGCACCTCTGTATTCTGTACAAAATCCCCCTCAGAATCTAACAGTGAATCCAGCATTCACATATGCTCCTGGATATGCACAGGCAGGGGTCATTTCATAGAAAAAGAGGTGCAGGAGCTCAGTAGTATAAATCATTAGCATGACTTATTTGCATATGCCACACCCCCTGACATCACCGGAAGTGTGTCAGAAGGCAACACCCACCACTTAGGCGCCACTGGACTGTTTTGGATTGCTAGCTATGGGGGGGGGGGGAACACGTGCAGATCTGTCCTCGCAGAGGAGGGAGAGCTTGTACCTGAAGGGGCTCTGCAGCTTCCCTGGCTGCTTCTTGCTCTGGCTGAGGGCTGCTGGGAGCAGGGGACGGGGCTTGTGTCATGTGCCCGCCCCCTGGGCTCTTTACTGCCGGAGCTCCGCTCCTGTGCGCTCCTGCAGGAAATGACCCCTGTGCACAGGTATGCACTGAAAGAAGGTGAATTGAACAACACACACACACCCCAGACACTATTATTGTCAAAACTAGGGGTGAAACAGGGCTTTTAATGGCAAGCTCAGTGGATTCTGAAGGGGAAGCAAAAACTATGCAGGGCCTATAAGAGCCATCATGGTGAAGAGCAGTGGACGCTAATGTGGAGAACTGGGTTTGATTTCTCCGCTCCTCCTCCACATTTCCTGCAGGAAATGACCCCTGTCACAGGTATGCACTGAAAGAAGGTGAATTGAACAACACACACACACCCCAGACACTATTATTGTCAAAACTAGGGGTGAAACAGGGCTTTTAATGGCAAGCTCAGTGGATTCTGAAGGGGAAGCAAAAACTATGCAGGGCCTATAAGAGCCATCATGGTGAAGAGCAGTGGACGCTAATGTGGAGAACTGGGTTTGATTTCTCCGCTCCTCCTCCACATGAAGCCAGCTGGGTGACCTTGGTATCGGTCACAGTTCTCTCAGGACTCTCTCAGCCCCACCTGCCTCACAAGGTGCCTGTTGTGGGGAGAGGAAGGGAAGGCGATTGTAAGCCAGTTTGAGACACATGAGGCCTGCTGGGTGACCTTGGGCCAGTCACAGTTTCTCTCTCAGAACTCTCTCAGCCCCACCTGCCTCACAGTAATTTGTGGAGAGAAGAAGGGAAGGCGATTGTAAGCCGGTTTGAGACACATGAGGCCTGCTGGGTGACCTTGGGCCAGTCACAGTTTCTCTCTCTGGACTCTCTCAGCCCCACCTGCCTCACAAGGTGCCTGTTCTGAGAAGAGGAAGGAAAGGCAATTGGAAGCCACTCGGAGACTCCTTCGGGTAGTGAAGGACGGGGTATAAATCCAGTCTCTTCCTCCTCCTCCTCCTCGTTCCTTTCGTCCATCCTGAAACGTCTGATGCAGACTTGCAGAATTATGCATGGCTTGGGCTTTGTCAGGTGGCCCCGAGTTCCTGCATTATGGGATTTCCAGCAATGCCTCCAAGCCGTGCATAATTCTGCAAGTCTGCATCATGCCCCCCCCCCAGTCTTCTTTTTTTTTCTTAACAAAAAAATACTTAAAAAAATGCTTGGGGGGGGGTCAACAGTGGGAGGGCTTCTAATGTCTTGGCCCCACTGCTGGACCTCCTGATGGCACTGGTATTTCTGGCCACTGTGTGACACAGAGTGTTGGACTGGATGGGCCTTTGGCCTGATCCAACATTGGCGTCTCTTATGTTCTTATGTTCTTATGTTCAGCTTCCTTCCAGTGATAAACAAACACCATATTCCATATGCAGGTTTAGACAAGGGTAGACAATCCCACCTGAACTGCTATGTCCTGTTGAAAGGACCTTGGGGACCAGACCTGGGAAAGATCTGTGCCTGAGACCTCGAAAAGCTGCCACCAGTCAGAGTACGCAATACCAACAATCTGGTTCCGTCTAAGGCATCCCCTGCCTTCACCCCTGTCACGGCTCAGGTGGGGTGTCACCTGACGCTGCCACCACTCTGGATTTAGCATCCCTTGAGAAGGCCCAGAGCACCCTCCCAAGACCTTCAGACCTCGTTTATTTGGTCGAATAATAGGTAAACAACAAGGAAAACAGCTTATTTTATAGGAGGTCAAACAAACAAGGTGCAGAATAATAACAGTAAGTGAGTGAAAATAAAAGAAATCAAATGCCCTAACGCGTCTAAACATATACTTTCCCTAGCTCACTATCTCAAGTGGCCTTACACTACTCACCCTTCCCCCAGGATGAGGGTCTCTCCCCTGCAGCAGCCTTCCTTCTGGCTCTGCCCTCTGGAAGAAAGAACAGCTCTTCCTGCTGCTCCAAAATTTTTATTCCCAGCCCTCCTCTTTTCCTATTGGTCCATTTTGGCTCCAAAACCTCCCAGGAGCTTCTGGGAGTTGTAGACCCAGCCTCACCTACTGCTACACAGGCTTCCTAGGACTGCTAGGCCGTGCTTACACAGCCCAGATCATGACAACCCCAAACCAGCAGAAGTCCATGGACGTCTTTAACCGTAAACGTGCTTTGCCTTGTTTCTAGGACTTGGGCAGCTGGTATGTCTGAAGCTCTTATCCGTCTCCGGCGGAGAAGGCACCGTTACCCCCGGAGAGCTCGTGGACGTGACGTCGCAGCACTTTGTACGCTTCGATCCTCTGAACCCCTATTCCATGTCAGAGAAAACGCTGGTGATAAGAAATGTGACGTACGTAGGCAGAGGTCATTTCGGGGGGGATCGCAGGGGATCGCAGTTCCCCCAAGTGAGGTACGGGGGGTGGGGCACATGACGAAGCCCCGCCCCCTGCTTCCGACCCTCATTCAGCCAGGAGGAGGCAGGAGAAGAGGGAGGGTAAGTTGCTTCCTCCCCGCCTCTCCCCACCCTTGCCTGCCTGGGGCCAGGGAGGGCCTTCGCGGGGCTTCCTTGCACTCCCGCCGGCCTTGCAGGTCCACCGCCGGGCCCCTCATGCATGGGGCTCGGCAGTGGAGCTGCAAGGCCGCCGACGGCGGCCGGGACCATTGGGGGCGGGGTGTGTGGCCTTATGACACACTTCCGGTGATGTCAGGGGGTGTGGCATATTCTAATGAGTTATGCTAATGAGTTCCCCTAGCTCTTTTTCTACGAAACGACCCCTGTACGTAGGACTCCAATTGTGCGTGCCTCGGGCGGGAAACATTTGAATCCGGCCACCAGTGGGCCGTGCCAAAGGCATGGTAGGTTCTTGTCTGCCCTCTGGTTCACAGAACGTGGGCTGCTTAGAACACAATGTTCTCTCAGTGCTCAGGACAGAGCAGCCGTTTTGGAGACCATGCCCAGTTTCATAAACTACAGACTTAAACAACTCTCTTTATGGTGGAAAGTGCTGCCAAGTCACAGCCAATGTACAGAAACCCTCCAGGGTGTTCAAGGCAAGAGACGAACAGAGGCGGTTGGCCATGGCCTGCCTCTGCGTAGCAAGCACTCACCAGGGCCGACCCTGCTTAGCTTCTGAGATCTGATGAGACTGGGCTAGCCTGGGCCGTCCATGTCAAGGCAAGAGACAAGCAGGAGTGGTTGGCCCTTGCCTGCCTCTGCGTAGCAACCCTTGAATTTCCTTGGTGGTCTCCCATCCAAGCACTAACCAGGGATGATCCTGCTTAGCAGGGGTCATTTCATAGGAAAAGAGGTGCAGGAGCTCATTAGCATAACTCTTTAGCATAACTCATTTGCATATGCCACACCCCCTGACATCACCGAAAGTGTGTCAGAAGGCAACACCCACCGCTCAGGCTCCACTGGACTGTTTTGGATTGCTAGCTATTGGGGGGGGGGACGTGCAGATCTGTCCTGACAGAGGAGGGAGAGCTTGTACCTGAATAAAACTTGGTCTTAAAGGTGCCACTGGACTGTTTTGGATTGCTAGCTATGGGGGGGGGGGAACGTGCAGATCTGCCCTCGCAGAGGAGGGAGAGCTTGTACCTGAAGGCGGGCCGGGAAGGTTGGGGCTCTGCAACTTACCTGGCTGCTTCTTGCTCCTCGTGGCCCAACTGAGGGCTGCTGGGAGCAGGGGGGTGGGGCTTGTTGCCTGTGCCCGCCCCCTGGGCTCCTTACTATGTGCTCCCGCAGGAAATGACCCCTGCTGCTTCTGAGATCTGACAATATCAGGCTAGCCTGGGCCATCCAGGTCCGGGCCAAAAAGTTCTCCCTCAGCTCTTTTTCCTTCTCCTCTTCCTTCTCCAGCCATGTGGACCTTCCGTTTTTCTGGCAGATCATAAAGCCTAACCTGCAGCCCGTCGTGTTGGAAGGAGATCTGGACCTTACAAAGATCAAATACAACTTGGAGACAGACCTGGCGTTCTCTGTCACTCCCGCCATGGGAGTCCTGCAGCCTCACGCCGATCACACATTTACTCTCCGTTACTTTCCCCAAAAGGTACAGCCAGTGTCTGTCCTTGACTCCCAGCATGTTCCTAGTATTTTTTTTTAAAGAAAAATAAGTGACATCCATGCCGTGTAGCTTTTAGGATTAACTTCCTTTGACTGGGACTCAAAAAGCAAACGCAGCTGTTTATCCTGTTTAAAACTTTTGTTTGACTCCGTTCCACAGTACGCTCAAGGTGATGTTTAGTAAAACTTTACACGTGTCAGAACCCACAACAAACAACCTAGTACACGCTTTCAGGAAAGGTAATACTTTATCGAAGAGCTATAGATGCATTAACATAGGCACTGTTAAGAATGACGGCTGCCCCTGGGCATAATAGGATATAGGGTATTCGTATGTAAAGAAGGCCGAGCACCGAAGAATCGATTCTTTTGAACTATGGTGATGGAGAAGACTCTTGAGAGTCCCTTGGACCGCAAGGAGATCGAATCAGTCAATCCTAAAAGAAATCAACCCTGACTGTTCCCTGGAAGGCCAGATAATGAAACTGAAGCTCAAATACTTTGGCCACCAAATGAGAAGGGAGCACTCCCTGGAGAAGACCCTGATGCTGGGAAAGATTGAAGGTCTCAACACGAAGTAATCTTATTGGCTGCTACAATCAATGCATCCTGGGACCCACCAATCAAAATATACGTGTTATGGCTTGCCGGGATCTTGTCAAGCTTTTCCTTTTTTTGCCCCTCCCCCCAGGAGATGATATCTTACCATGCAAGAGAGCCAGTGTGGTTTAGTGGTCAGGAGCTCGGACTCTGACCTGGGAGAACCGGGTGTGATTCCCCAACTCCTCTACATGCAGCTGCTGGTGTGACCTTAGGTCAGTCACAAGTTCCCTCAGAGCTGTTCACTTGAGCAGTCCTCAAAAGAGCTCTCTGAGCCTCACCAACCTCACCGGGTATCTGTTGCAGGGAGAGGAAGGGAAAGGAGATTGTAAGCTACTCTGAGACTCCTTTGGTAGGTGGGGCTGAGAGAGCTCTTTCGAGGACTGCTCTTGAGAGAACGGCTCTTAAAGAATTTGTGACTGACCCAAGGTCACACCAGCAGATGCACGTGGAGGAGTGGGAAATCGTCTTCTTCAAGTGCAGAGCCTTCCTCTGGCAATGGGAGCCATCTTCCAATAGAAGAAGCTTTTCTTCTGGAGTGTGGGGGGGTCCCCAGCCTTTTCACCCCTGCAGGCACCTTTGGAACGACACGGTGGTGGGGTGCACCCACCAAATTGCTGCCTCAACAAGGAGAGCCAGCGACCAAACGGCTGCTGCAGCAGGCAAAGCCGGCCATCAAACAGCTGCCGCTGGAGGCGGAGCCAACCACAAAATGGCCACCACCAGAGGCGGAGCCAACCACAAAATGGCAGGGAATGAAGTTTAGCATAACTCTAATATCCCATAGGTGCCCTTTTCCAAGGAGCTGTGTGTGACTGGCTGGCTGCATCTCTTGTGCTGCGCGTTCATTCAGCAGTGAACCTAGGTTTGCCTCGGTGTAACATGTGAAATATCTCTCAGATGCAGAGATAAGCCACTTCACCCCAAGAAGAGCGTTTATCTAGGGCAACCCCGTGCAGGATGTTCTCAATTTCAGCAATGAACTGACTAGAAAGAGTTATTTTTCTTCCCCATGTAAAGTAAAGGTAAAGGTTTCCCTTGCTCGAAAGCCAGTCGAATCCGACTCTAGGGTTGCGGAGCTCATCTCCGTTTCAAAGCCGAAGAGCCAGCGCTGTCCGAAGACGTTTCCGTGGTCATATGGCCGGCATGACTAAACACCAAGGCTCACAGAACGCTGTTACCTTCCCACTGAAGTGGTACCTATTTCTCTACTTGCAATGTCTTGCTTTCAAACTGCCAGGTTGGCAGGAGCTGGAACTAGGGACGGGAGCAACTCGGGTCTCGAACTGCTGAACTACTGACCTTCCACAGCCTGCAGTTCAGCGTCTTAACCACTTGAGCCACCGCAGCTCCTTAAGCCCATACTGGCTAGGATTAATTCCGACAATGTAATTAGGTACCTTTTAGCTGATGAGTCACCTGAAATTACTGCCCAGATTGCTGAATTTTTGACCAAGATATTGACAGCAAGGAGTCGTTTTTTAATATTGACGTGTTTTAAGAAGGCACGTGTAACGATACCTGATGAAGTAATTTATTTATTGTTTTATATGCCGATAAAGGCGTTGTGTTGTATTGTATTGCTAGTCCAGTCACTGTGAGTTAGCAGAGCGCTTAAATAAAGCGACAAACGCAGGAGCGTCACTTTACCAGGGTACTCAGCTTACAAAGCTACACAGAGCCACGCTGCAAGTTTAGAAGAGAAAGACTCCTCCCTTTATTGGAGAAGTACACTTTTGGATAGGAAAGAGTAGGGACACGATAAAGTACTAACTTACTAGCTAAAGGATGGAGGCGGATGGCGAGAGGCCCATCTGCCTCATGGTATCAAGAGAGGACCGCAAAATTAAACCTTTTTGGACGGAAGTCCTGCAAAAAATAAAGCAAATTCTCAATCTAGAGTTAACACAGACTCCTGAAAGTCTAATGCTAGATATTTGGCCAGATATCATTGACCAACACCACCACAAACGTATACTCAAAACAATGCTTTACGCGGTAAGGACTTCTATAGCTTCAAAATGGAAAGACCCTAACCCACCAACCATTCAGATCTGGTGCCAGAAATTCTGGGACCAATATGTAATGGAAAGCATCATGGAAAAACGCAACAAAGCTGCTTCTGGGCACCAGGGCACGGGATTCAATGCAAAGTGGTTTCCAATCCTTACCTTTTTAGAAAAGGAAGAATTTATACCCCCTTCTTGTTCAGATTATTTTAGATGTTTCTGAAGGCAAACTAAAGGCAGTGTCCGATCCCTCACTGCTATAAGTCCAATACACGTTTAAACAAAGTAGCATTTTATTAAAGCCATGTTAGAGCAGGAACAAGTTCACTGTTAAGAATACCTGGGACGGGCTGAACAGGGGATAATGAAAGACATTCAAACAGACAATAACCAATAGGCTTGGTTCCCGCCGCGCGGGCAGACTTTCGTATTCGCGCTCAAAAGCCTGAGAAGCAACGTTTCTATAAAGATAAACAATTGAAGCTTCACACGATCCAGCTCATTATAGTCTAAGCTAAGCGGCTCCTTCTCCCCCACCTGTTAATCTTGCAGATAAGCGTACACTAGCGTTCATAGAATGGAATGCATGACACAGGGATACACACAGAACACACAGGAGGCATGCGCAGATGCCAGAGGAGAGGGGGGGGGGGTTTCTATCCACAGACTTCAATGGCAACTAGCTGACAGGCAGGTACTAGCGTTCAATTCAAATTAGCAAAGCAAAATATCTAAACTATGGTCTTTAGGTTACCCTTGCCCCAGCAACTGTAAGAATGGTCTTACAACTTATCAGTGTCAAAATCCTTGATGTTCTCTCAATTCAACATTGTGATTCCGGAGATACAGAATGTTTTATAGCTATTTCTTTTTTTTTTAAGTTTTATTTATTGATTTTTATAAAACAAAGTTCTCAAATATACATACACCTACGAGTCATTTATACATTTTTCAACCATGTATACAATCCCGCCCATCTCTGCTCAAACAATTCTTCATGTTTCCCTTGTAACATTAAATTTAACTTGTCTATTTCCGCTATTTCCATCAGCTTTTTAATCACTTCTTCTCGTTTTGGGGTAATCTCTTGTTTCCAATACTTTGCCCATAAGATCCTTGCTGCCATTATTATGTATAATATGACATATTTGTCATTATAATTTATGCCATCCGGAAGTAAGTTAAGTAAAAATATTTCCGGCACCAGGTCTAACTTCATTTTACATATTTCTTGTATCATTTTCTGTATGGATATCCAGTATTTTTGAATTTTTGGACACCGCCACCACATGTGATAAAAGGTTCCAACACTTGTTTTACATTTCCAGCAAGTGTTGGAGCAGTTGGTATAACATTTAGCTATTTTTTCTGGTGGCCAATACCATCTATGATACATTTTAAACACATTTTCTTTGAAGCTAGTTGCCCTCATAACTTTGAGTAACTTCCACATCTTTAACCATTTTTCTTTTGGTATTTCGTGAC